GGGTCATCAGGCATAGGTCCAGTAGTTTAAGCATGTTGTCCTTGGAGATGGTTTCACTGGGGTCGTGTTCTTGTTCAAGTAGTGTTGTCATTGTTTCCCTTGCTAGTGGTATGTCTATTGACGTGAATAGGGCGGTGACATCAAACGATATCATGGTCTCTTCGTCCTCTATCTTTATGTCTTTGATGGAGTTGAGGAATTCTTGGGCTGAGTGGATGGAGTGGGGTGATTTGTTGCCTAAGTGCTTGAGTGTTCTTTGTAGTTCTCTGGCTAATCTGTGCGATGGAGTGCCTGGTAGGGAGACTATGGGTCTGAGGGGGATTTACGGCTTGTGCACTTTAGGGAGGCCGTAGAATCGGGGTGTGTTGTTTCCTTCGGGTTTCATTCTTAAGAAGTCTGCTTTGTTGATCTGTTCTGTTTGTTGAATTCTTTGTAGCGTGTATAGGATTTTGTTGCCTAGTTGTGGTGTCGGGTCAGTTTGTACTGGTCGGTATGTGTTCTCGTCGGCGAGCAGTGCTTGTGCTTTGGAGATATAGTCCTTTTTATTCATTATCACTGTCATGCGCCCTTTGTCTGCAGATAATATAGTGATGTTCTTGTCCTTCTTTAATCTGTCCAGGGCTTGTCTTTCCCATGTGTTGAGGGTGTTGAGTTCCCTCTTTCTGATTAGTGTCGGGACTACTGTCTGTCTTGTAGTTTGTTTTGTTTCTTCGTTGGTATTGTTGGTCTTGAGTGTGGCTTCCAGTGTAGCTAGCCATTACATTTTGTTGGTGTCCCTGTAGTTGTAGTTCAGTGCCCAGGTGAGAACGGCTTTTTCTGCATCTGTCAGTTTCCTGTCGGAAAGGTTCCTTATCCATGTGTCAGTTCTGTTGTTGTCGCTTTTTTGGGTAAGAGGAATACCTCTTCCAAGTATTCAAGGATAATGGATATCCAAAGAACTGGGTCAGGAGATGCCTACAGGAACAGCATCAGAAAGATTCTACACGCCCCGACAGTCTCATCACACTACCCTACATCAGGAACACGTCAGAACTCACCACAAGACTTCTATGACCGCTGGGCATCAGAGTGGCACACAAACCCACATCAACCCTACAAGTGCTCACCCGAACTTAAGACCCACTCCCGGCCATAGACAGGACCATTGTCATCTACAAGATCGCCTGCAGAGACTGCGAGAAACACTACATCGGACAAACAGGAAGGAAACTAACAACAAGAGTACATGAACACCAACTGGCTACAAAAAGACACGGCCAATACTCACTCATCTCAATCCACATGGACAGGGAGAACCACGACTTCGACTGGGACAACACCAAGATCCTGGGACAGGCTAGGAGAGACAAGCACGAGAATTCCTGGAAGCATGGCACTCCACGAAGCAGGCTATTAATAAACACATTGAACTCGACCCCGTATACATTCCACTACGGAGGAAACCTGGAAGTGAGGCAATCCATTGCAACGGACCCCAGAGTTTAAAAACCAGGCGGGAAAACACACCAACGCTTCAACAGAGGCTGCACTGAGGATGTTACCAAGCACAGTAACGAAATGTCTGCGGAACAACAAACCAACTCGGCGAGCCAACCAACCTCAACACCCACAACCCGAGCTACAAATCTACTCCAAAACCTTAGATCAACAGTATAGTTCCAAGTCATGACGGTGGTGGACTTAGAAGGGAAATGTGCAAATGGTGATGTTCCCATGCATCTGCTGTCTTTGTCCTTGTGGATGATAAAGGTCTCTGGTTTGGAAGGCCCTATTATAGGATCCTGGTGAATTATTGCACTGCATCTTAGAGATGGTATACACTGCTGCCACTCTGCATTCATGGTGAAAGAATGGAATGTTGAAGGTAGTTGTACAGTGGCCTGATGTGTCATGGTGGCGTCATGATCCAGGGGAAGATAGGAGGAGGTATCTGAGAGCTCGCGCTCGCCCTCTGTAATGTCGAGGTCAGACTACAACAGCACCACCCTTATCAGCAGGTTTAACGCCTCCATGCCCATTACTTTGGACAAGGTCTTTTCCCTGTCCCACAGACCCCTTCACCCAGTTCCAACACTCTCCCTCCACCTTGACCCCTCCCTCTGGACTTTACCTGCACTCGATCTGTTCATTAAGAACTGTCAATGTGACATTGGTTGTCTCAATTTCTTTGCCCCCTGACCAAATCCAGCCTATCTCCCTCCGTGCACTTGTGCACTTAGATCTAACCCTGACTTTGTTTTTCAGCCTGTCAGTAAGGGTAGTGCTGTTGTAGTCTGGCGTACTGACCTCTGCATTGCAGAGTCTCAGTGCCAGCTCTCGGACACCTCCTTTCTTCCCGTGGACCATGACCCCACCATGACACATCAGGCCATTGTGTCAACTATGGTAACTGATCTCATTTCATCTGGTGACCTGTACCCTAGGCCCGCACAGCTCACTTCTACCTCCTTCCAAAAATCCACAAACAGGACTGTCCGGGCAGACCCATTGTTTCAGCCTGCTCCTGCCCCACAGAGTTCTCTCTTCCTACCTTGACTCAGTCTTCTCTCCCGTGGTCTAATCCCTGACCACATACATCCATGATTCTACTGATGCTTTACACCGGTCTCAAAATTTCCAATTTGCATGCTCCAGCCACCGCCTCTTTACCATGGACATACAGTCCCTTTTACACGTCCATTTCCCAACAGGAGGGTCTTAAGGCTGTCTGCTTCTTCCTGGAGCAAAGACCTAAACCATCCTCCACTTGGCCGAGCTTGTCCTCACCCTCAACAACTTCTCTTTTAACTCCTGTCATTTTCTTCAGGTCAGAAGGGTACCCGCATAGACCCCAGTTATGCCTGTCTCTTTGTGGGGTACGTGGAACATTCTTCGTTCTAGTCCTATTCCAGCCCCCATCCACAACTCTTTCTCCAATATATCAATGATATCATCGGTGCTGCTTTCCTCTCTTGTCCGGAATTGGAAAAGTTCATTGATTTCGCTTCCATTTTCCACCCTGCCCTATCCTTTCACCTGGTCTATATCTGACTCTTCCCTTCCCTTTTTCGAAATCTCTTGTTTCTGTTTCTGGCGATAGACTGGCCACTAATATCCACTATAAACCTACTGACTCCCACAGCTACCTAGACTATACATTCTCTCACTCTGCTTCCTACAAAGACTCCATCCCATTCTCTCAATTCCTCCGTCTCCCTCTCATATGTTCAGATGAGGTGAACTTCAACAAGGGAGCCTCCGAAATGTCCACCTTCTTCCTCAACAAAGGATTCCCCAGCACTGTTGTCGACAGGGCCCTCAACCAGGTCCAACCCATCTCCCTACTTCTTCTCTTCCCTCCTGCAACAGCAATAAGGTTTCCCTTGTCCTTACCTAACATTCTACCAGCATCTATTTCTGCCACCTCCAGTGAGATGCCACAACCAGACACACATTCCCCTTCTGCAGAGACCATTTCCTCCAGGACACCCTGGTCCATTTTTCCTTCACTCCTAACACCACCCCTCCACACACACGTACACACACGTACACACACACAGGACCTTTCTCTGCAACACCTGCCTGTTTAACTCCTCCCTCCCCAGTATCCAAGGGCCCAAACATACCTTCCAGGTGAAGCAACACTTGACCTGCACTTCCCAGAATCTGGTCTACTGCATTCGCTGCTCACAATGTGGTCTCCTCTACACTGGGGAGATGAAGCATAGAGTGGTTGACTGCTTCACGGAACATCTATGTTCTGCTTCCAGTTGTCTGCCACTTTAACACACCACCCTGTTCCCTGGCCAACATCTGTCTCTGGCTTGCTGAAGTGTTCCAGTGATGCTGAGCGCAAACTGGAAGAACTACAGCAACTTCTGAGGAAGGGCCACCGGACCCGAAACGTTAACTCTGATTTTTTCTTCACAGATGCTGCCAGACCTGCTGAGCTTTTCCAGCAACATCTGTTTTTGTTCCTGGAAGAACAACACCTCATTTTCCACTTGGGGGCCCTGCAGCCCTCCAGACTCAATATAATGTTCAATAATTTTAGGGCCTAAACTCTCCCATGTCCTAATCCCCTACCCCACACATCAGGCCTTGTAATCTCACAGCCTGTCATTACACACTACTTATTGTTAGTCACTAACAGTCACCCTCCTAGCCAGATCGTTATCAATTCCTTTGTCTATCCAACTGCTCTCCTCTCTCTTTGGACTCTATCCTTTATCCTTTCGTTTACTCCCTACCGCATCCCCCTCCCTATTTTCTGCATATAAACTGATATTTTCCCAGCTACCATCAGTTCTGAGGAAGCGTCACCGGACCGAAAACATTAACTCTGATTGTTTCTACATAGATGCTGCCAGACCAGCTGAGCTTTTCTAGCAACTTCTGTTTTTGTTCCTGCGTCAGTATCTGAAGTGTTGTGAATAGTATTAAATATTATGCAATCATCAGTGAACATCCCCAGTTCTGACATTATGGTAGTGATTTTGAAAGGGTTGAATCAGTTGTGACAAAAAGAATCAATTGTATGTTTTCTAAATTTTCAATTGGTTAGTTCAAGTGCATTTAATACAGTTGTCTTCCTGTTGGCAACGATAGTCAAAAAGAAAGAAAGGATGCAGCTGTTTTTGAAGATCGTGCTAGTTAAATATTAAATTCTTCGCATCATTTGAATGATGAGAACTTTACTGTTGTCTATCCGCAAGCTATTTAACACTTGTGCAGAGTGACAACTGGCAACACTGGAAGTGAGTTAGAGATGCTCTTGATGGGGAACAAAATACAGGACAAAATAGCATTTGTTAAATTATTCTAACTTTGTGAAGCTGTTGTTCAGCAATATGTTTTCTAAACAATTGTATTTGTGTTTTCGTCCTCTCATGGTTTTAGACAACTTGGTGAATTATGCAGCCTATTATGAACCAGAGCATGAACTGCCTAGCAAATGAACTTTGATGCTTTTGCCCTATTCCTTTTCTTTCATCCCTGTTGCTTGGATTTTTTTTTTGCAGTGATCTTGAACCAGAGTGGCTGCATGATGTGCAGACGAACGGTGAGCTATTCTACCTGGAGCTGAGTGAAGGAGAGGAAGACGTGCTGATCCAAGCTAATTCGACTTCGGCACATCTGATCAATCGTGTCAGATTTAGTGAGAATGAGGCAGAAGTAATTTCAGACCACACACCAAGGGAGTCTTGCAAACATGAACACAAACTTAAAAAGCTTGCTAATGTTTTAAGGAAGAAAAAGGTAATGCGTACACATTCTTGCTGCAGAGCCAATGAACGGAGAAGTAGTCACACACCAGTACCTGCTTCAATACTAAAGCATCAGACAAATCCCAAAGTTGGTGTTTCAGTGCAGTTTACTTATAAAGATGTGTATGTTTATGTTAATCCAAACAAAATAAGTGACAAATCGCTGAACAAAGGGACAAAGCTTCTGGAGGCCTTTGTAGGGATTATTCACCAGCCTTCAAGGAGAAAGCCAGTGGCAGGAAAGCAGTCTGACAGATTAACAGACACAAAAGTAACAACAGAAGAACGACTTGTTGTACACAGTTTGGCCCATGGCAGTGCTGCTATGAAAAGTGGTCAAATATTAATTGGTAAGTGTGAAAATATTTATTTACGCAATTAAAATATCTTTGGAAAAACAAAATACTGCGAGTACTGTAAATCTGAAATAAAAGTAGAAAATGATGGAGAAACTAAGGTTTGGTAGCATCAGGGAGAAAGAAACAATGTTGACATTTCAAGTCTTCTGAAGTGCTTACAGATGAATGCATTGTAATACTGGGTACACTGTAGATATTGCCAGAGAATAATTTTATAATGGTCCTTAGAATTTGTCTATGGATTTAGAAGTAGTTTGGGTTGTACATTATGAAAATGGATTCTAGACCATCTAGCAGTCTTTTATTCTGCAAATTTTCCATGTGCTACTTTATGGTAAGAGTTGTACTCTATCAAAGTGGATTTGTTGCCTGTTTTTAGCTATGTTAGCCATTAGATCATACTATCATCAGAGTCAGAAAGTCCTGGGTTCAAGTGGCACTCCAGATTGCAAGTGTTTGGTTTTGTTTGTTTTATTTCTCTTTTTCCTCCAATTTTACACAACAGAAAACTCCAATTCCATGGTGGATACTGAATTAAGTAGCAAAGACCATTGGCAGATTAGATCAATATGGCATAGAAGCTGTTGCTAAAATAGCCAATTGTCTAGTAAACCCCCTCCAAACTGCTTCCAATGCACTTAGTCCTTCCTTGAATAAGGAGACCACTATTCCAGATGTGGTCTCACCAGTGTCCTGTCCAACTGAAGCATAACTTCAGAAACTACAAAAATTTATGAACACAGCCCAGACCATCACACAAGCCAACCTTCCCTCCATTGACACCATCTACACTTCTTGTTGCAGCTGAAACGCAGCCAACATCATCAAAAACTCCTCCGACCCCTGTTATAATCACTACCGACCTCTTCTGTCAGGCAGAAGATAACAAAAGCTTAAACACACATACCAACAGGTTCAAGAACAGCTTCTTCCCCATTGTTATTACGCTTCTGAAAGGATGTCTCAAATTTCAAATCTAATGTTGATCTTGCTTTTTGTGCAGTTTCTTAGCAGCCATAACTTTGTATTTGTCGCTCTGTTCAATCGCCCTATGATCTTTATATGTTATGATCTGCCTATACTGCATGCAAAACACAACCTTTCACTGTACTCGGATATATGTGACAATAATAAATCAAATCAAATCAAATAAAACTTCTCTACTTTTGTATTTATTTCCTCTCATAATAAACAATAACATTAGCTTTCCAAATTACTTGCTGTACATGTGTACTAACCATTTGCAATTTCGTCCACTGGATATTCCCATCTCTCTGCATCTTGGAGCTCTGTGATCTCTTACCATGAGGTCACTTTCTAAAAAAAAAAACTTTCCTGCCAAAATGAACAATTTCACAGTTTTCCACAATATAGTCCATTTGCCAGATCTTTGGCCACTCACTTGACCTATTCATATTCCATTATTCCCTCTTTTGTCTTCTTCAGATCTTGCTTTCCTGTTTGTTTCTGTATTGTCAAGTAATTTAGCAATCATACCTTCAATCACTTCATATAATTTACATAAATGACTTGGAAAAAGTTGAGGCCCCAGTGGCACACAACTGATTATACCTTTATATACCAGAAAATGACCCATTCATGCCTACTCTCTGCTTTCTGTTAGCTAATCAATCTTCTATCCATGCCAATATGTTATCCACTACAGTGAGAACCTTGATTGTGGCAGCTTTATCAAATGCCTTCTGGAAATCAAAGTGCAGCACATCCACCAGTTCCCCTTTATGCAAAGCACATGTTACTACGAAGAGTGCCAATAAGTTAGTTGAACATGACTTTTGTTTCTCAAAATCATGCAAGTGTCCTATTATAATGACTTTACTTATGCCTTCTAACGTCATCTTCCCTATACGTTAACTGGCTTATAATTTCCTGCTTTCTGTCTCACTTTTAAACAAAAGAGTTAGATTAGCTATTTTTCAATCAAAAGAAAACCTGCCTGAATCTAGAGAACTTTGGAAAATAAACATCAATGCATCAACTACCTCACTAGCCACTTCTTTTAAGACCCTAGGATAGAGTCCAACAGGACCAAAGGACTTGCCAGCTCACAGCTGCAACAATTTGTTCAGTTACACTCTCTGGATGGTTGTAATTTTCTTGAATCCTTTGTGATTCCTTTTCTTGAATTTGAATATATCCCAATGACCACTTATTATAATCTCTATAATACTGCCAGCCTCCACCACAGCTCAGCCCCAATTCTGCCGAAGCTATCATTATGCTTTTGTTACCTCCAGACCTCAGTATTTCATTATCCTCCAAATGATACAAAACTCTGCTGCTTGTATCCTAATGCACACCAATCTGGTGCATCATCACTGTTGTGCTTCCTTACTTGCACAAGTTCCTGTTCAGTGTCTCCATTTTTAAAGTATCCGTCCCTGTGTTGAAATTCCTCCGTGGCTCATCCCATTCTTTTTCTGTAACTTCTTACAGCTTTAACCAGAATACTTCTTTCCTTTTAACTCTTGTCTTTCATACATTTCCCACTTTGTCCATCAATGTTCTGTCATTGTCCAGCACTAAGTTCTAGAATTCCCTCCTGAAATCTATATACTTGTCTCTTCTTAAAACTCATCACTTTAACTAATCTTTTTACTTCTTTCTTTGGTACATTTTCACTTTTTGGCTGAGTAGGCTTCTCTGAATTCCCAGGACATATTACTTTGTTACGGGCACTGTATACGTGGAATTGCTGTATGCAAGGGGGCTTATACATAAAAGCACCAAAACCGATTTGATGGAGCAAATTACTTTCTACTGTGTAACTTTTTTTGGTTCTTTGATTCCTAAGCATCTGGAAATGCTTGATACCTTTGGCCTGGATTTTGCGGTCAGTTGTATAGTGACAGCGATTGCTACTGGCACTGAATAAAGCTATCCTGGGACCGAACACAACCCTGATTGTGAATTTCATAAAAATTATCCCATGATACTACTTTGAAGGAGAGCTGGGGAGGTGAAGGTTACCAGGTCAGCAAGCCAATGCTGCAGGAGGCCTTCAGTATCATGGTTACCCAGCAGCAGGAGATTTTTTTTCTGTTTTTGAATTCAGACTGTTTGTTTCTCTTGAACCATCTGGTTCTGTGAAGAAATTTGATCAGCTTTCCTAATTACTGCATATTGCTTTAAACAAGTTGTCAATATTAGCAGTATATAGCAATTTAAAGAACATCTGTGGAATCTAGTGTGCAGCATTGCAATTTATGCCTATTTTAGAATTTAAAGCTGAGGCTGACTTCCGAAATTGACATATGATCTATACTTTACAATGAAAGTGAATCTAGTAATGACTTATGATTGAATAAAAACAACTGCTTAGAATAGTTGGCCATTTCATTTCCAACCAAAACATGCTGTGAGACTGCACAGAAATAATTAAATTGACTATGACTAAAAATGACAAGATGACATTCCATACTGGATGGCTTGATGGAGAAGGCAGAAAGGAGGGACAATGTCCTGTATTTGCAGAGGACCAAGCAGAAGGCAGTGGGACTAGATAGCCAAGGAAGTCATTGACAGGAGTGCAACCCTGAAGACTTGGATACAATACCACAAGAAGTTCAATGACCTTATATGATTTGATGTGGTCAGTGAATGTTTCTTTGCTGCCGTATCATATCAACTGCACTAGTAGACTCGGACTGCTAAATTCATCCATCCCCCAACACTCATCGACAATTTCCATCAGTTAGGCCTCATACCTAACATTCATACGTTTCACAGCACCCTCACACCTGGCTCTGTCACAAGTTTTACATCTACTTCTCACAGGTTCTGTATACTGTCAGTTATTTGACCATGAATGCTATATCACCTAAACAGATTGCACAGCATGCTTTCCCTCTCTTGCAAGATAAAGTGGTGCATTACCAAAGCAACAGGATCTAATACTTGGGGCGAGGGTGTACTTGTATGCCCTGCTCCATTATTTGGCCAGCCATTGCTAAGTCTGAAACAATCAAAATTGATGATATCCTGCCACCTAACCTCTCTTTTTCTCATCTAACTTCTCTATCGATTCACAAATTTGTCATCTCTAGTGTGTAAATTAGACAAGTACATACCTCTTGCGTCCATTCACCACAACATCTGTGCATTTCTGCTTTCAAATAACCAAAAAGTGCAATCTGCTAAGACAATGGAGAAGCACCATGAAGACACAGTTGAGTGGCTACTGCCTGTCAGCCGTAAACAGCTCAATAATATTGTAGCTCATAAGCTAACACCTGCTGGAACATCATTTGGGTCCAAAAGTTTGTAAATTGAATTGGCAACCATTTGTATGATGGACTCCAGGCTCTGCATTGTCTTTTGATTTTACCATTACTGTCAGCTACTTAGTTATTGACATGATGTAATTCAGAATGTTCTGTAGAAGGTGTATCTGCACATGGTGAGACAATGAGCAAGGCCTCACATGAGCACTTCAGTGGGAAACCAAGAAAAGAATGCAGCGACATGTGGACAGTAAAATGCTTGATTATTGAGGAAGCCTCCCAGACAAAGCGTAAAGAAACCATCTCGGCATAGGGCTTTCTGCAGAGCGAAGACACCATGATTGCTACCAGAATACATGGGGGTATGACACTGTCTGTGATCTCCTGCGGGCTAGAGATTGAGAGAGTGGATTTCCTTTCACTTATAGTAAAGAGCAGTTTTGACACGTGCCCACAAGTGCTATGTATGTAGTTAATGCATCTGGACAAGCCTGTGATCATAACAAAGATGAGTCCTTGCTCCAGCTGCTGCTCTTTGGAAAAAGAGATTAATTCTCTTTCACTAAGTAGAGATCCTCATTAACATCTTTGCAACAGTGGTTGACAAATATAGATGTTGGAATTTTTTCCAGCTCCAACCTGGAAGGAGCTAAGTGCATGAAAGTTTGATGCCATGGCCAATTTCACAACCACTGAGCTTTCAGTCACACCTGCAATAGATTTGAAGAAATGCAGACATCTTTCATA